TGAGGTGCATCAGAGTTTTGTAGTGAAGGATGCTATCAGGTCTTGTGTAAGATGAAGTGTGACTGATCTGAAAGGAATCTTTACCAAGGAGACTGGTGTGTTTCCTGTGAGTTGAAGAAGTGAAAGGTCATGTAACTTTAAGATGTTGAGGAAACATTTGAAATTTATTCCACTGCAGAATTGTTCATGAGATGAATATTATTTTGATTGTTCCAAATTGTTTTTGAATAATTTGGTGATCAAAGGTGTTCTTAGTTAAAAATCTATGATTTCCACTAATATTTTTTGATAAGTCTTGGTAAAGCAGTTTTGTAAATTGTCCTAGAATTTGAGAATATAAATGAATGTGGCTAATCATTAGTAGCGAATTCTCTTATAAATCAAATCAAATGGTTTCCAGTTTGTTGCTTTTACCAGTAGAAAGGAGCAATTGAGAGGAGTTATCAGCTGCCAGACCATTGAAAACAGCATTTGATGACTAATCACTGAGTGATTACTTAATTTAAAAGGTGCTCAAAGGATTGAGCATGTAGCTGTGTAAAGTCTTATTCCCGCTTGAGTTATGGGAATAAAGTTTTTCAGTGTTTACATTAAAAAAATATGTCACAAAGCCAACACTGAATCCAGGATAAATGAATGAATATGAAAGTCTAAAAGGGATAAAAGCCCCATTCATCTCATTAAGATATATTTATAATAAAATTTAATCTTTATAATTTATAATCATTCAATAAAATTTATAACCTGCTTATTTTGTTCAATTATGCAGACAATAATTGCAGTGGTAACTCAATCAATGAGTTTTTTTTTTTTAACACTTTAAGACTTATAATAAATAATGGGAAATGAGGTGAAATTTTGGATTTCAACGGCAAGTATGATATTGGTGATCACTAAAATACTTTAAAGTATAAATGTATTACATTAAGGTAGAATTCTGAGGGAAAATTAGAATGGGAATATGCACTTAATGATTAAAAGAGGATGCAAAATGAAAAAATAGGTTATGTAATTTTAGATGGATGATGATGGTACCAAGTTGTTTTGGTTTTTAAGTACCGTTGAATACATCTCAAACAATGATGTAATGGTTTTATTTATGTCCATATTTATTATCTTCTGGAAATTGTATCCTTTCCAACATTATGTTTTAAATTTATGACAAACAATTTTAGCTGTCAAATTAAACAAGCACAAGGGGTCGCTCAGTGTTTGGTGATTCTTGTAGGGACAAGTGAGAAACTGTCCTTTTGGAATAGAATGCACAGGTACTTCTGATTCTGTATCTTGGTGGCCATTGTTCCTGCCTCTTGCTAGAAGACTATTTAGCCTTTAAAAGATCCTAAATTCCAGGAAGGTCCCACGTTACTGCGTTTGGATAGTCACCTCCAGAAGAACTCTGAGATGAGACCACAACTGATGCCCCTGAAATCTGCTCCCGTGGGCCTAATGAAGATCAACACCTCTTCCATGAGTTCCATGAGCACACACTCTTTCCACAGTCTTGGAATATTTCAGCCTTGGGTAGTGTTTCTTTGGGCTACAACTTTTTATTTTATTATTTTATTTTTTCAGTTGTGAGCTGGAAGAAAAACTAGAGTAGTGTCTCTTGTGTTCTTTTCTCTTGATTTGTTAGTTGTGCAGAGAGACCAGCTAACTTTGTAACTTTCCTTCCCACACGGATTATTCTGTCTTTAACTCATGGAGTAAACATATCTGGGTCTGAGGAGCTTTCCTCACTTTTATATCCCTTTGTATTCTTTTTTTTTTTCTGACAAACTTTTCTAGTTTTGGAGACTTCCTTCATTGAGAGAAATGTAATCAGTTAAGTTCTGGGTCTTCCAATTCATTTTAATTCTATCAGATCTTACCACATTTATCTTCATAAATTCTTGCTTTTATCTACATAAGTTTATCTACATAAATTCTTTCCAGTTAGAACAATAGCTAATCCACATATGGATTCAGTTACTGTTTTGCCTCGTTCTTCTACCATACTTGCAATCTTCATGTATTTCTCCATCATATTACCTTAGGACAGAAAGCTACATTATGTCCCCGCATCCAAAAACTTTTATGAATGTATCATTTAACCTATTAAGCCTTCTCATGATATAAAATAAAATATATTTTTGAAACTTCTTGATTTCTTGGGCGAAAGAAAATAAGATCTTTGATATTTAGAAGCTGTTAATTTGGAGTATTTAGAGATGAAGATAGACTTGAATAGAAAATTCCTGTGAAGGATGAAGAGGAGGAAGCAGTTGAAACTTTAGAAAGCACATAGTAGATCTAACATCTCAGAAAAGGAGGAAGGAAGAGTGTCATAGGAAGGGAACCAGATAGTCCCATGTTAGGAGAAGCCCCTGCCTATAATCATATGTTCTCGGTCACAGCTGGAGCAATTCAGGAAAACTGTGGCCTCGGCGAGGTCTGGTGAAAGATCCAGAGGTAGCAGTGGCACTCCCAGTCAGGTCTGCCTCCTGGTGCAGAAGCTCTGGGGCTTAGGGCACAGTGTTAGATGTGAATGTGAGAAGCCAGAGTGGAGAACCACTCTTGTGAGAGTGAGAACTGCTGAGGAGGCCAGGAGGGGTCCTAGCCTTGAGGCATCCATCCATTAGACCAGGTGACATGGAGTGGCCTGCAGACATGAGATAGAGTCACTTATATCTAAACCAGGACACTGATGCACAGCAGTAAAGGTTAGCTCCACCCCAGAATACATATGTGGTTTGGTCAATTTTCTGTGTCTCAACTGTGAAGTGAAAATTGGACAAAAGACTTTCTACTCTGACATGTTGTGGTATTTCAGTGGAGCCTTTAATTTGTGTCTTTCCAAATTTATGCTCTGAAAAAGATGCTTGCAACTTTTTTTTTGTCAGAGAACTGATTAAATGAGGCATATCTGAGATGTAATTAGTGTATATATGTGTGTAGATATTAACATGAATTTATTCTCCAACATAAATGGCCTAATATTAGCAGCTGATTGCAAAAGACATTGGGCTTGAATTGTTTAATGTAATGCTAATTTGCTTCAAGTGCAAACACTAATCAGGAACATTAGGTAATTATCATTTAGGTACAGGACCCCAATATATGAAATGTGCATTTTCACTTGAGCACTGGTAGTACATGTGTAGCTGCTTATAGTAACAATGGGGAGAATTCTAAGAAATATGTTCATTATAGAAGGTTGTAGTGACAACTCACATTTATTAATTTTACCTTTTGTTGAATCTCTTATTAGAGGCATCTGTTCCATCTTAGGGAATGAATAATATATTTAATGTAACTTGATTAAATACATGCTTACTCTTAGGCTGCTATATGTAGAAGATCAGCATGTTATGTGTGTGAAGAATTCCCATGCATTTAAACAAAGAAGAAAAAAGAGCCGTTTACCCTGAGCCCCAAACTCCCTTAATTTTAATAATTTTATAGATGAGAAAGCCAAAGAATATGGAATCTGTCTTGACCATCCAAAAGCACTAAACAGCAGCTTCTAACAGTTTTGTTTCTACATGGCTAATAAGTACATGAACAATTGTAAGAAATGAGCACCAGTGTCTTAATAGATAGACTCTGTTATATCTGTCTTTTGACATTTGAGAAAACTAAGGCCAACAAAGGCCATGTTGCTTGCTCTAGGACATTGAGATAGAAATGGCAGAACCTGGGAGTTGAATCACGTATGTACGTTATTAACAAAGAATGCTAAAGGCAAACTGGGGCTAAGAACTCAGAATCCTATTTCTGTTTCTTTTTAAAACTTTTTACACATTTAGTAGATGTAAACAAATTATAGGTACAATTGGGGTACAATGTGGTGTTACTTGTTACATGTATACATTGCTCATTGTCTAATCAAGATGAATCTAATAATCTTTACAAGCATTTACCATTTGTGGTGGAAACATCTCTATTTTTTAAAATAGAGAAATACATAGTATAATAATGTTGTTTATGATCATCGTGCAAAGGAATCCTGAGTTTCTCATTTGCTTTTAAGTGTCATTTGCATCACACCAAGGTTGTTTAGTAACAAATCCATCATAGTATCTAAAAATAAACATGGAAAATGAAATGGTACCAATAGCTGTTTGGAGCACTCAGCTCAGGAGGTCTTAGCTGCCCTGGCTGAGGCTTTCCAAGGCTTTCCAGCTTGTGTCTCCATGCCTTCTAGGAGAGACTTGAGCAACTTGCATTCATTAGCAGGCAGAAATCATTTAAATCAATAAATCACATGCTTCAAAGCAAACGGCTGATTATGAAGTGGTTTCAAGATACGTGATCAGCTTGTTTTCCAGAAATCTGCCAAGCTCTTCTAGGAATAATCTTCATATCTCATTTGTTAATGAGTCTTCCATCTGCTTTTCTTCCTGGATCTCTCTTGGCCTTATGGTTGGACATTCCCAGGGCTTCTCATCACTAGATATAATGGGTCAGGATGACATTCCTCCTGAGTTACCTGCTCTTTGACAGGATTCTTGGTGTTGCTGTATCGGCCTGCCTATACACTTGATACACATGTCTCCCAGATACAAAGTTACTGTAGAGTGCTTCTCTTCCCCCTCATCCTAACTCACTTGGAGTCCTCTGTTGGCTAACAACCATACAAAATGAGCACATGCTTTCATCATAGAGCTGTGACTCGTTGGCTTGCTATATGATAGTTTATTTTACTGATAATTTCCATTCTCAGGAGGAATCAGTACCCCAGTGAAATAACTGCCAGGTCTACCAGTAATGAGGATCAATTTTAGGTTGTCCATGTCTCAGGGGTTTGAAATCATCCCTGAATTCTGAAATGGAGCTCAGATTTCACCCTGATTTTGTGTCTTCCCCAAGGCCAGAGCCTTGCAGCCCCACACTCCTCAATAGCAGGAGTGTAGTTCCCATGAGACTGTTGGGAGCATGGGTCCACTGATATTCCAACAATGAAAGTGAACAGAGAGCGGATGGGGTGAATAAAGTCTTACTTTCCCTTTTCTTCTTAGGCACTGGTGAGAAAAATTGATGCCTCAGACAATATCTATGCCATGGAGACCAGCACAGGGAACCTGTTCAGCCTGACCCAAGAGGGGGCTCCCTTGTGCCGCATCATAGCCAAGGTGAGCTTCATATCCATGTTCTTTCTTCTGTGATAACCATGGTATCCCTAGTACCCACAGGATGAAGTCTTGATACAAAGACTATCTGAAAATTGCTATTTTGATTTATGTGGCTCTGTGATATCCTGGACTATGTCATGCTTCCAACCCAGTTCAAAGGATAAGGGTTAACCCCTTCCATATCTCTTAGTCTGATCCCTGTAACAACTTGTGCACCAAGAAACAGGAGGGATGGGTCTACAAATATGACTTTTCCCGAGGGTGCTAGGCAGTACCTTCCGTTCTGGTGCTCCATGGAGGTGTTGGTAACCTCAACACCTGCCTATCAACCCTGGAAAAATAAAAGAAACTAGACATTTTATTATTTTGTCGCAAAGAACTTTGCCAGTGTTTAGCAGTCATTGAGACCAGGTAGGCTCCTAAATCCACCCAGGCTATGCCTGTCCTCAGCTTTACTGCGCCTCACTGAATGGGAGGCTGCGTACATTCCCAAATGCCAAGAAATGAAAGGGCTTTTCCAAGGAAAACAACAAAGGCAACAGGTGCAAACTAAACAACCGAAGGCTTGCTTCCAGAAATTCATCTAAAATTTTTATTTTGGAAATTATTTTTCACCTTATTTTAGAGACAAAGATCGACACAGATACACGGATAAATCTTGCATCACCTGGTTCACTTCTCAAATGTCCAAAGGAACTGGACCTGGACCACACCAAAGTCAGGAGCCTGCAACTCAATCTGGGTCTCCCCTGTGAGTGACAGGAGCCTGAATGTTTGAGTCATTATCTGTTGCCTCCCAGGGGTAGATGTTAGCAGAAAGCTGGGATTGAAAGTGGACCTGGACTGTGTGCCAGGCACTCTAATATGCAATGTGGCATCCCTGGTGATGGCCTCAGCTTTGCTCTGAATACCTACCCTAGTTCATCCAGACTGGTTGCAACCCTTTCTACCAACCTCTCCTCCAAGCTGACCCTGCAGAGGTCTGTCCTTTCACTGTGGTGGAGCAGAGAACTGCTTCAACCCCTCAGCATCAGGTTAATGATAAGTTTCAAGCAAGGTTACCTGAATGTCTTTTGGAATGATGACCTTTCAAAGTAAGTTGCAAATACTAGCTGGGTTAGGGCTCTGGACATGGCTATGAGACCTGGAAAGGGTGAGACTTGCTCTGAGTGGGAACATGCGATCTGAAAGCATTCTGTGAAAAGCAAAGGCCTTTGAGGTTCCTCGGGATAAAACTTTCCTGGATACAGGCTCTGAAGCTGGGGGCTCCTGTTCCAGGTCCTGGACATTCAAGGGCTCATCTCCAAGTGCTTCACCCTACATGCACGTCTGCTCTGTCTTCCCTTGTCTGCCATTGTGCTCCTCTGTCAGAGAAGCAGAGGTGACATACATGTAGGGTGAATCCATAGCTAGTGTTTGCTGCAGAGTTCATTTCCTCTGTGGATGAATGTTACCGAACATTTCCAGCGATTGGAAGTGAAAACAGGGAAGCAAGGCCTGGAGTTGAGGCCCAAGACCAGCCCTTATCCCACCTCTATTGTGAACCTGCCAAGGGAGATTGGTCAGGCTACTGGGACACTAGCTCCTGGTTTACAACATGAGGAGGCACAACTATGGTATTTAAGAGTCATTCCAACTCTTTGTTGGTACTTTTATGGGAATACTCAGATTGCAATTTTAGTTTTATCCTCTCTCATGTTATAAAATAAAGGTAAGGTGAACTCTTCTCCACATTTGGTCATTACATTTTGTGTTTCTCTTTTAATCTTACGTGTCCCACCCAGTGTCAGCTATTCAGTTCTCCTTGTGTATCCTAGTTCTCAAGTTGTTTGAAGATCTGGAGTGAATCTTTGAGCATTGCCAGTGCCTGACACAGGGATGTATGAGTCTGACTGAATATTAACAGCAAGAATAGTGAGAATTATGTGTATTGGTAACTTCCCCTGTGCTGAGCCTTGTTCTGACACTTTTTTGTCCACATATCCCTGTCTGAGCTGGGCATTAGCGATCCTATTTTATAGCTAAGGACTGCAGTATACAGCAGTTAAATGTCTTGAACAGCTGATACTTGAAATCACTTCTGGGATCAATGCTGTTTTCTGTATTCCAAGCCCAGTTGGCTAAAAAAGAGTCTTCCTCCTTCTGCACAAACTCCTGCAACAAAATATCCACCTCTTTCCATCAGTGTGTCATCTATCTCCACCCTTCATAAAGCACATGGTGATCAGCTCATCTGCTCAAGTGTGAGGCTGACAGGGGTGAGGGAGAAATGGGATCTGAGACTTCTCAAGGCTGGAAGTGGTCAACCTTGATGATGACAGAGGTGATGATAGCTGTAGTAGCAGTGATAATAATAAAATCAACATCCCTTTAGAATGTACTCACTAATTTGAAAGACTGAATTACAGAGGGAGAGAGGGATACACGCACACGAGAGAGAGAGAGATAGAGTGAGTGAGAGAGAGAGAGATCTTTTATCCTTTGGTTCACTCTCAAATAACTTCAAAGGTCAGGAATGGACCAGGCCAAAGCCAGGGCCTAGAACTTCATCTGGATCTGCCATGTGGGTGGCAGGGGCATAAGGACTTGGGCTGTCTTTTGCTGCTTTCCCAGATGCATTAGCAAGGGTACAGAGCAGAAGAGGAGCAGTTAGTACAACACTGTGCAACATTGCTGGCCCCCAAATTAACATTTCTATAGCACTGTGTCAATCAAGGATCTAAGTGCTTTATAGAACTTATTTGAACTTTTTGAGGGTCCTCTGTGGCAGACTCTTCCTAGATCCACCCTGCATAGGTGGAAGGGCTGAGGCAGTGAGGTCACACACTGAGTGGGATTTGAAACAACTGTTTTGCAGTCACAGCTATGCTCTTGGTTACTGTTCTGCACTGCCTCGCCTTCTCACCCTTTCCCTCTCCTTGCTTTTCTTCTCCTTCTACGACCATCATTATTTATTGAGTCTGCCTACATACAAGCCTGGTGCTAATGTTTCCATTAGTTACCTCAGAAGATCCTTGTTACAGTTCCTTGAGGTACGGGACCTAAGAGCTCCCTCTTGAGATTAGGAAACAGAGTCTCAGAAAGAACACAAATAGCTTGTCCAGGGTGATACCCATTCATACAGAGCTGGAATTTTAACGAGGTCTGCTGACTCTTGGGTCTCTGACCCTTGGGGTAGAGAGGACTGATTGCTGAAGGAGAGAGAATATGCAGTGGTGCTGCTTCTTTTCTCGGCAGCCTTGCAGAAGGAAAGGTTGGTTCTCCCAGCAGAATCACTAGGTTGGTGTGTAATGCTGATGGTGGTGCAGGAGCTGGGGTCCCTGGCATGCCCCATACATAATTCCCATGTTGGATACTCAGTAGATGTCCCAACCTTGTGACAGACGTGGGGCAGTCCTAGTAACCTCTGTCACCCACCTCTTTTGGGGTCCACTGTAGTCTTTGTATCATGCATCTATCTAAAACTGACGGCCTGTCTCAGGTTAGACCTCTGCATCTCTTGGGTTCCTCTGAAGACCATGGAATGAAGCTAAATCTCACTATCATGATGGTAGCAGACCTTCCTTGTACTGCGTTAAAACCACTCTTCCTACCCCACCCTCACTCCTCAGTTATTCCTGCCACCACCAGGACACACACCCACAAGCGGCCTCTTCCAACTTTGTGACAGCTCACCCCAAGCCTGTGTGAATAATTCATACTGTTTTACAGCTGGGCTCTGAGCCCAGAGCTTTCTATAAAATTAAATAGGCTCCAGCCAACAGTGTGATTCTGCTAGCTCAGGCAATTTCCAGCTGTACACAAGGATGACTGCTGTGCTTGCGTCCTGATTGGGGGATTCAGACTGGTCTGTGAGACCACTCCACCTTACTTCTTCCCTCTTACTTATCCCAACCCTTGGTAGATGTGCTGTGATGGTCTGATACACCGTTGTAGCCAGGAAGCTCTCCAGGGTCTGACCCTCACTGCAGTGGCTAGAACCAGGCACCATGGTCGTCCACATCTATCAACCCAATTGCTCCCCTCTTTACTCATGACCCCATTTTTAGCCAAAGCTAACAAGCAGCAAATCCAGGATTTGGATCACAGTAATCTGGTATGTCTTAGTCTAGGACCTAGCATTTCCTCTTTGATCTTGCAGAAGCTGAAAATGCTAAAGAGGACATTTTTCAAAGTCTTGGGAAAGGACCCGATGGGGATCTGGTGCACTCTGTGCAGGATAGTGTGCTGAGCTCAGTGTTTCCTGAGCCAAGGAGGCAGCCACGTTCGTCCTGGCTTTGTTCCCTATGGAACTACCAATCAGTAGCTATCAATATAATGTTTATATAATTTATGTGATTAAATATAAACATATGCATATATAAATAGATGTGCACATGAATTTTCATCTAAAGGGAGCTTATTTTAATGACTAGAGGAAGGACAGGGTGAGGGGAGCTTGGGAATCCTGTCTCTTTTCTTCTAACTCTAAAGACCAACTTGACTTGGCTCCCTTGAATCTCTGAGTAGGCTCTTCATATGGAATCCTGTCCTGAGGGAAGGTGGGAGGGCAGGGATAAAGGAACAAGGGATCAGAGGGGTAAGTGTTCTGCGCCAGACTTACTTCTGTTGGAGTGGGCCTGTCTTGCTCCTTCTGCCAACACTCCCCAAGTGGTTTTAGGGGCTCCTGCTCTGTGCTTCTGTAACTCTGCCATTCATTTCCCTTCTCAGCTTTGTACCTGCTTTTAAAATTGTCTTCCTATTCTGCCAGACCGTGAATGTAATGTGGATGGGGACTGAGGCAGTCTTACTCAGGGCCCAGCACAGTGTCCAGCATATAATATACATTAGTATTTTTTTGTTTTTGAATGTAGGGATGAAAACGTTACTTGCCTTCAGGTATACCCTCTCTCCTGTCAAATCAAGGAAGAAAGTAGGGATGAAAGAGGGTTAGCCAGTTGAACCATTGAACCAGCCCCTAATCCTTTTTTTCCTGGTGATTACAGGCTTGCTTCATAGGGGTATTGCTGAGGGGGGGTTGCCAGAGATGTGGGAGTGGTATTGAACGGTGTTGACTCTGGCCCTGGTCTCCCAGCGCAGAGGCATTTGAGAGATTGCTCCTCCATCTTGGACTAGCATTGTGATAAGTGACATTGTGGAACCAGCTGTTGGCTGTAGCGTATGTGTGAGTGTGTGAGTGTTGGTGTGTGTCTGTATTTGTCTGCATGCAGAAGCTATCTGCTGGGTGTGGGACTTCAGTCATTCTTGAGGGGAAGGTCAGACAATGAGGTCACAAGACATTTTCTTTCTCCTGGCAGGAAGGTGGCGTGGTAGCCCTGTTCAAGGTCTGCAGACAAGACAATCTCCGGTGCTTGTACCCCCAGGCACTCCGCACGCTGGCTTCCATCTGCTGTGTGGAAGAGGGTGTCCATCAGCTGGAGAAGGTAAGGTGAGCTGGCTGGGTGGGACCAGAAGTCCCTGAGCCAGGTGAGGAGAGGGAGGGCATGCCACCTAGTGGCACCCTTATTTTTCCCAGGCGCCCTCAGGTGTGGCTGCTGGAACCTGGGCTATGGTCAGTTAATGTAGAGGGAAAGGGGACAGAGACCAAAGAGCATGACCAGGAAAGGCAAAGCCCCAAAATGCACTCAGCCCCTCCCGGGTTGCATGAGCTGTGGACAGCCCAGTGGGTGGAACAGAGCAGGAGCAGGTGACCTGGATGGGGAGAGGTGTTGAGGCTCAGGCTGGTTGGTCCCTCACCAATAGTGGGATACCAGAGAAGGAAGGGATCCGCTTTTTCTGGGGATGGAGCAGTACATGGGGGAGGCAGGTACGGTTCGGTTGCATTTTATTGAGGGCCACAGGGCTTGGGTAGGGAAACTAAAGTCCAAATGCAAGTGCCTGCTGAGTCAGTGAGGCACAGAGTAGGATGGGTCAGCAAAGGGGTGTGGTGCTCTGTTGGGTCCAAGGCTCCTCAGCTCAAGCCCAGGCTGTGGCTGGGGCAGCTGGGTCTGATGTTTGAGAAGTTCCCAACCAAATTTCAAGGAAGGTAGTTGAGAACCCTTAGGGAATAGAAGCAGGTAAGCCTGCTGTGTCAGTTACTTATGGAATCCTGGGTAGGGACGGCTCTTATGGTTTGGTCTAAGTGGAATGGGATGAGAAAACTGTTCCCTTTCTTCTGTTTGGTCTCAGCTAGCCAGATAACTCCCACCCTATTCCAAGCTTCTAGGCTCCTAGAAAAAATGCTTATCTTACTTTCTACCCTGTCTCTTCTTAAATGTCCTGGGTCAAGTTCACAGGAGCATGGATTCATTAAGGCTTTCAAGTGAGGAGGGAGGGTGGATGGGAGTCTACTGGTTTTACTGTTGACAAGTCTGTGTTTAGGCATGGGGAATCAGTGTATCTAAAGCTATACATGAAGATAGTATCGGAGTTGGTGCTGGCCCTCTGGATAGAGTGCCCTCTAGCTGCAATGAACACTGGATTTATTAGTAAAAGATAGTGCTGCTGTCCTGGTCCTGTTACACAGTGGGTAAATGTACTCCAAGGAGGGATGTGATGTGTTCAAGGTCAAAGAGTTGCAAAATGCAATAGCCAGAATCAACTTAGGTCTCCTAAGAGTGAAACCCTTTACACTTCTTTCCTTTCCAGATTGTGTGAGCACACAGAAATGCAAATAAGTATGTTATCTTAGATGTCAGTCTAGGAGAGAGAGAAAGAAAAAGTGAGAGAGAAAGACCAACCAGAGCCCAAGGGAGTTCAATAATGGTCATGCAGTGAGCACTTTCAGTTTTATGAGCTGAATAATTTCTTCTCTTAAAACATCCCCCTTGGATAAAGGACAAATAGCTAAATGGGGTTTGTTTCTCACCTGTCCTGTCTGGTTGCGGGATGAATGGGAAGAGGAAGGAGTAGGTGCTTGGCATCACTGGACATGCAAAGGCAAGGAATGGCTTAATTTAGTGAGTTTTCAGAACATCAGGAAGCTTCAAATTCAGCAAAGGAAAATAGTAAGGATTCTTTCTGTTTAGAGCTGAAAAGCTGTGCAGCTTGGACAGGTGCAGGCAGTTTTTTCTTCCACTTTTTGGCTGCTGCTGTAACCCTGATTTCAGGAATGTGTCCCAGGCAGACAGGCTGACCCTGGCCTGAAATTCAGGCCCTGCTCAGCTGAACTAGAGTAGGAAGGGGTGCTCATCATGAGGGGCTACCTTGTGCCAGCTGCTGAGCCAATCCAGTAGGCACACCCATGGCTAATGCCCCAGAACCTGACCAGATGAGCACTCCGCATGCTAAAGATGAGGAAACGGAGACAGTTTCAGCAGCTTCCCTACAATCACTTAGCTGCTGTTGGCACTGACTGAAAACCCAGTGTAGCTTCCTGCCTTGCTGGTTTAATAGATCCTCTCAGAGCACAGAATGCATCCCCACTGCTTGAAGCCACAGTAGCTTATTGTCCTTGGCACAGAGGCTGGCGGTCTCGCTGTCAGCCCCTACCCCTGTGGGTCAGATGCTGGGTTCTGAGCGAGAGTGAGACCCCCGAGAAGGGCTGTTGGGTAGGCACAGATAGAGCTAGGCTGTCCTGCAGCTGAGGGTGTTGGCAGGAAGCCCACATGCATTCCTGTTTCTATTGGTACTTATCTTGAACTTCCCTGTGGCACAGCTGAGGAAATGGAGGCCCAAAGCCATAATAAGAGCTTCTTGCACAGACTCACACAGCATGTAGCTCAAGTCATTCAACAAATATTTACAGAGCATCTGCTGTTTGCCAGCTACTACTTAGGTGCTGGACACACAACAGGCCAAACCCATGGTCTCCTGGAGCTCCAGTCCTGGTCCAGCAGATCCTAGGGTGCTTGCTCTGGGTCACACTCCGCCTGCTGCCTGTGTAGTGTAATCTGTAGCTAAGAATGACCTCTTTTTAAGTGGTAGGAAAAGCCTTTGGAAAAACCACATTTTATATCACATGAAAAATTGTGGGAAATTTAAGTGATCTTTGGCCAAGTATTGTCTCTAGCAGCTCTTACCCGAGAATAGCACAGTTAGGTCATTGTGGCAGTCTCCACATCCCCAAACCCAGATGTATTGACCATGTGGCCATGGACAGAATGGATTTTCCCCTGTTCTAGCAGGTGACAAGGGTGCTTGGACAATAACGTACAGGACAATGCCTCACATCTGTCAGATCCGTACCATCATTCTGTCCTTGCCACAGCTACTTTCCCTGGGTACTGTCATCGTCGCTGTTGTTTGCAGAAGGAAGGGAGACTTCCAACTCACTCAACAGTACGTAGAACACAGCTGTGGAATGGCCCTGGCAGTAACTCTGCTGGGCCACAGCCAGGCCCGTGAACCATCCTGCAACCCCAGCACTCCAAATATGATGTAATACCAACACCTACACCTGCTGCGTCTGTATCGTGTTGCTTCCGAGAAGTTCTAGAGACACCCAGGAGACTCTTCATCTCCCTCATGCTCACCCCTCTCTGGTGTGCCCCTTACCTGCTGCTCTCTCTGATCTGAGCTGCTTCAGTGCTGACCTCCAAGGCTCCAGGGAGACCAGCAGCTGCCAGTATCTGGGATGGGAGATGTAGAGGCCCAGGCATCTGCTGATCTGTGGAAACCACAGAATGATAGGCAGGTGAAGGCAGGCAGGAAGAACCATGTCCTGGAGCACTTGTCCGCCACCAACTCACCACAGCTCATAGTTCCTGGCCTAATTAGATATTGTCAGAGTCCCAGCCGTCTTTTCCTGATTTACTGGCTTAGCATCATTCCTGAGGTTTGTTCGATCAAAGGCGGTGAGAAACGTGCTGGATTTGGTGAACTGCAGCGGTATCCTGCAAGTTCCTTCCCTATCCATTGTATCCTGTGCAGCCTCTAGCAGAGCCATGAGTATAGCCCAGTCCTCAGTCATCTGACCCATCCAGAGTCCAGCTGTGTGATGCTCAGGTCTCAGTGGGATCGAGAGCTTGTGTGGTCAGGCATGTAACCACGATCTCATCCATGCCTCAGGTGAAGTCCTTTCTCTGCCTCTCTGTCCCTCCTGTCTGCCAGGCAACCAGCCAGTCAGTCACTTCTGATCTCACTCACTTGGTGCTTCTCAATATTGTGCTTCAGCTGATTCGCTCTAAGGAATTATTCATTGTTTCATCGTGGTGCAAAGCAGTGCAGGGGAGAGACTGGGAGATTACAGAGCTGGGAAATTCTGGGTATGAACCCAGTTTCTCATCAACTTGGCTGTGTTATCCTGGGGAACTTGCTTAGCTCATCAGACTTAGAATTTCTTATTCAGTAAAATGGGCATAGTAGAATGTACCTCCTGTAGTCACAGGAGACAATGAATGTGTGGTATTGTGGTGCTTGCGCATAGGAGGTGCTGAAGAAATGATAGCTGTTAGGGTTGTGACAAGAGTTGGAGAATGAAGGAACTTGGAAAGGCTGTAGCTTGGTGAGGAAGGGAGGGCTGGCATTGCTGAGTGGAGGAGCCAGCATAACCAAATGCAACGAAATGCATAGCATGGAGAAGCAGGAGTGTTCATGGTCTCCTCACTTCCCAGGTGAGGACACGGGATTTTGAACTGCATTCCCTCAGCTCATGAAAGGAGGGCTTGGATTCCACCCCAAGTCTGGCTGCTTCCAAGCCCCTGCTCTTTACTGTCTGCTACCCCGTGAGCACAGAGGAAATAGCTCCCTGGGAGCCAGGCTTCGGCCTGTGCCATGGGTAGACATAGGGACCTATAAGGCAGGACTGGAGTGGGCAAGATCCAAAGGGCCCTGCAAAGTTGTCTTTCTTTTCAGCCTGGTTCCATGGTAACCTGGTTCATCTCATCCACAGCATTCTCTCTAGAAGGGCCAGCCAGTCCTATCCTCCCTGTGTCTGCAACAGGCCTACACCTCTCATTCTGCAGCTCCAGTTCCTAGGGAGAGACCCAACAGGCCTGGTCTCCACCTCCCAAGGTGGCAGGTGGAGAGCTTTAACAGCACAGGAAGGGGTAGGAGGGGAGGTGGAGCTTGGCATGGGGGAAGCTCCCAGCTGGGCCAGGGAGGGCAGCCTTGGCAGAGATACAGCTGGAGGGTCAGCCTGTGGGAGCCGCAGGTCTTTAAGGAACTTTACATTCAGTCACCTGCGAGAGCCCCCAAAGAGAAAGGCAGTGTTCTGTGACCCACACTTGGGAGAAGTCTAGAGGAGAAAACCAGGGGATGAGGAGTGAGTGAGGGCCCCAGGGTTTCACAGTCCCATGGGAACCAAGGGATCCATGTATTCCAAGGTGGTCTGGGTGGGGATGCCATCCTGGAGGTCTAGAGCTGGCATCATAAGGGGCAGGGTGCAGAGTTTGGGAGAGGCCAAATGTACCTGGGAGGGCAAGTCATTTTTCATGGTACCCTGTGCATCTCCTCCGCTGAGCTGCCCTGGGGATGCTCTACCATCCTGTGCTGGGGTTTGCAG